GCTCAGGGGAACTCCAGCTCATTCATCAACATGGCCTGGCTCCTGCTGCAGTCTGGAGCTCGGAACACTCTGAACACTCTTCTCCTCTGTCAGTGGTCGTACTGGGGTGACACATGGGCCGGGGCCTGGTTATGGGCTACAGACAGTCTGGAGATCCACTGCAGGGAAAGGCCAGGCTAGTGCCGAGAAAAGACCCCTTGTGCTGTGACGTCTCTGGAATGGTGGAGCCACTGTGCCTGGATGTCTGGCTGGCAGTGACCAGCCAGTGTATGTATAGAACAGTCTGTCTGTGGAGCTGCTATGAATGGATATCAAACAACACACTGTTAAAGAGCTCCTTTGTACAGTATAATAATATTAATAGGCAGTTTTTTTAAACGTGCAAACCAAAGTATTACAGTGTTCAGAGTACTAGTAGACTAACCATTTTAATTAATGGTAGTAGTAGGTGTTGCAGTAGTACTCAGGTTTATGTTTATTGTCATTGAGCGATTTACCCTTAGATAGGCCAGCTGCAACATCAAAATTGGCTATATTGTAAAATGTCATGAAAACAAAAATACACTTTTTGGTCTTAATTTAAGGCTAGACATTAGGGTTAGCAGTGTGTAGTAGTAAAAAATATCATTTTATTGTCACATACACTGGATAGGTACAGTGAAATGTGTTGTTTTTACAGGGTCAGCCATAGTTGTACAGCGCTCCTGGAGCAAATTAGGGTTTAGTGCCTTGCCCAAGGGCACATTGACAGATGTTTCACCTTGACAGCTCAGGTATTTGAACCAGCGACCTTTCAGTTACTGGCCCAACACTCTAACCGCTAGGCTACCTGCTGCCCTAATAGTAGTAGCAGTAGTAATAGTAGTGACAGTAGAAGTAGTAGTACAGACGTAGGATCTTAATTTGATAACCATGTTGCAGGAGAACTGCAATGCAGGACATTTTAAACTTGTAATGTATTTGATGTTTAAAAATGCTTCGGAAGTTTGTAGTTGTATTAGTATAGACCATTGGTAAAATAGCTGGCAACAATGGTAGCTAATAGTAATTGTTTTAGTGGAATTATATCTAAAAGGAATTGGGGCCGGGGTCAGCCTGTCTTGTGCGGCCGCGACACCACCCCTCCACTCCCACCTCCCCTCCCCAGCTCACCCACCCCGCTTTAGCAGCATTAGCCGAGGCCAGGGATTACAGCAGCTAGTGAGGGCACCACCCGAAGTCTGCTACTGCCAAGGAATAGACTCCCACCAAGCCCTGGTTCTACCCTCAGCCCCAGTTTTAGCCTGGGCTCTAGCCCCAGCCCCATGCAGCCCCAGCCTCATACCTATCCCTCAGGCCCAGCACCAGCCTCATACCTCTCCCTCAGCCCCATGCAGCCCCAGCCTCATACCTATCCCTCAGGCCCAGCACCAACCCTGGTTCTTGCCCTAGCCTAGCTCCAGCTCTCAGTCCCTATCCACAGTCCAAGCCCTATACCACAACCCCAGCCCACCAGTTCTATACCGCCAGCCGCTCTCTGTTCGGTCCAGAGAAAAGGGAATCCAGACCGGGGTCAACTCCATTCCTCGCACAATGGGATTAACAAACAGTGTCGTGGTTATAACGGAATCAACATTCTATTTCCTAATAAAGTTCTGAAAGCATTCTCTGGGGGTTGGGAGGGAGTTAGTGGAAACTGGGTCTTGATTAATGTAGGTCCCTAGGTGAGACAGTGAGTGTGGGTAAATCAGGTTTAGACTGAATCTCAAATGGCACCCTATTCCACTTATAGTGCACTAATTTTGTCCAGAACCCATAGGGAATCCCATAGGGCTCTGGTCAAAAGTAGTGCACTATATAGGGAATAGGGTGCCATTTGGTACAGCAGGTTTACTGTAGTAATCCCATGGGCAGACGTTCATCTGACAGACAGCAGTAGTCTAGACATTATGTTCAGAGTGGAGCAGAGCAGAGCTCTGGATGCATCTCAAATGGCACCCTATTCCCTATATAGGGCTGTGGTCAAAAGTAGTGCACTATATAGGGAATAGGAATGCTATTTTGGACACAGTCTCTCCATGAAAACAGTCAACGAGTTCAGATTTTAAAAAATATGGTGTTTTGTAATTCGATTGACTTCAAAGGACTTGCATATTTCCATTCTGGAAAACCAACAAATTGTATTTTTTTAAATAATTTACCCAAACAGTCAATCTCAACGATATTAGCATTTCTTTCAGCCTGGTCTCATAGACTAGACGTAACATAGTAAAGGTAAATCCGGGACACTCAAATTAGTATGAAATGTTACGTTTGGTATGGTTACATAAGAAAGAAAGGTTACTTAAGGCAAAAATGAAAGGATGGAGGGTGGGTGGGCGTCATCACGGACAACTCTTGCATTTTAGCTGATTAGCAACTTTGCAACTACTTTTTAGCTACTTAGCATGTTAGCTAACCCTTCCTCTCACCCCCGAGTGGCACAGTGGTCTAAGGCTGTGCCACTAGAGATCCTGGTTCGAATCCAGGCTCTGTCGTAGCCGGCCGCGACCGGGAGACCCATGGGGCGGCGCGCAATTCGTCCAGGGTACGGGAGGGAATGGCCGGCAGGGATGTAGCTCAGTTGATAGAGCATGGCGTTTGCAACGCCAGGGTTGTGGGTTTGATTCCCACAGGGGGTATGAAAAAATATTATGTATGCACTAACTGTAAGTCGCTCTGGATAAGAGCATCTGCTAAATGACCAAAATGTAAATGTTAACCTAACTCCTAACCCATCTAACATAGCCACCTAGCTAAATGGAGGGAGACAGATTTACATTTACTATGTTATGTCTACCCCTGAGTCCAGGTTGTTCCTTTCATTTTCATTTCAGGCAGTGTAGGCTACGGTTTGTTTTGGAGAAATATGTATTTTCTCCTACACTTGAATTTAATTTCTTCACTTCCACCGTTAATAGCACATTTGTGCAAATTTGAATCTGCTGAACCAATCTATGACTCTCACCTTATAGCTCTGAAAGTTATTCATTAGGATGTTTCTCTCTTTGTAAAGAGACTCTCAGAGTCATTAAGTTATCTTTTAGCACTAGGAAAACACTCATTACATGCCATCTGTTAGCTAGGAGCCGGGCACACACACATGCTAGTTAGAGAGAGCTGGGCAGCGCGTCACAGCCCTGCATGGTGTTGTGTTGGTTCTCAGAATGCTCAGCCAGCCAGACACAGCCAGTGTTTTAAGTGCCTGTTCATTTTATAGGCTGCTGTATGTCATTATTATTGCTTCCTTCCTGTGATGTCATCAGAGCAGAGGGGTGTACTACGATTGAAACTAGATCTACTCAGGGTTTTCTAAAGCTAGCTAGCTTCACATTCCAGCTCAGGCTTCATCCGTACTATGACAGTGGATATTGTTAGACCGCCTGCCGCTAATTCTAGCAGGCTTGTAACTGCGTGTGCATGTCGCACGTGGCTAGCCGAACTCTTCACTGAGACAATGCTGAAACATCAATCCATTGGCGTAACAGTGGCACATTTTCAATTGTTATCTTGCAAATTCAGCAGATTATGGGCATTTCAATAATGGGCTTGTTGAAATGCCATCTTTACTTTATTACTTATCGTTAATGTCGCCTTTGGTGTGCTTATCAAGCACCTTTTTCCCCCACTCCTATCGATAAAATAATTGTGTGTGAAGTTCCAAATGCATTCTGTCATTACTAAATGTGTAATGTGATAGGTATTTTAACATGACTATTTTCTTACACAAAAAAACGTTGAATATTTAATCAGTTGTCTTCCTCAAATGAAGGGGATGATGACTCAATCTTTGCGAGAGGGAGGGAATCTGATTTCATTGGTCCTCCACTTGCGGCTCAGACACTTCATTCAGGATAAATGGAGTTCAGAGGAGGCTGGTGGGAGGATCAATAGGAGGACAGGCTCATTGTAATTGCTGGAATGGAATTAATTCAATTTATTCCATTCCAGCCATTATAATGAGTCCATCCTCCAATAGCTCCTCCCACCAGCCTCCTCTGATGGAGTTAGCCTGCCCAGGAGCAGGTTAGTTCTGAAGGATTTGTTGCCATAGAAATTACCTGGCTAAAAAGTACCAGTTATTCCGAGTTGACCAAAGTTATTTAGCTAACTCCTCAAACCAGGTACGTAGTATAGGGCTTTGGTCGGTTAATAAGAGAGGAAGGAGAGAACATTAATTCTTCAGAAAACAACAAGAGAAAAAGCCCCAACAAGCATTTAAAAAGAGGGTGACAGACAGAGATGTGAGTTTAGGCTGTGTTAAATGACTGTAAATGGTACAATGGTTGTAAAACAATATAGAAAATAGACCACAATTTGTTGACGTTGTTTACAATGACAAGGTTAGGCAGGTGGATTGTGTCATGTTGGATAGGGGTCTGTCAATATTTAGTTGCCTTACCAAAATTCAAAAACAAAAGAGCTTTTGAGACTAATCCAAATGCCAAATTACTGTTAAGTGACAACTGACAATTGTAGTGCATGTTAGCTACTCATTTCAGCCTCTTTTAGTCCTACAGTGGAAGACATTATCATGTAAGAACATTTGCGTTCGCCTTGGTACCTACAGCACACCCATAGCAAATAAACACCAGTAGAAACATTTATTTGTATTTGTATTTTTATTTTGGCATTTCTTTGTTTGCATTTATATTAAGCAAAGTGCATCTTATTTAATTTTTTCTCATCAACACATTGCACAATACATAAATAATGATGCATATAAAACGTCTTCATATTTACAAGTAATAATATATTTATATATAACATAAAATACATTTTTGCTTTTTATTTTACTTTAATTAAATCTTAGAGTAATTTGTCATATTAAACAAGTTAATTGGGGTTTGTTTGTCTCTTCTTTTTTCTTTAAACATCTTAATTTTTTAACCTTTGTCTTCTGAAAAAAGGATTGGTAAGGGCTAGTCCGTGTCCTCGGTTCACTCCTAGGAAGAGGAAGGTTAATCCATAATCCATTGCCTCTATCGGTTGTTGAATATAACCTCCAACCAACAGGGGCAGCTACTAATAAACTGTCTTGTGTAGCACTGGCCCCAGCCCTTCACAAAGCTGATCTGTACAGTAAACCCAGTCCTCGGCTGCTGTGTGAACTCGTGATCATTAGGCCTCTGCAGGCTGTCTGCCTTCTCAAAGTCAAAGGCCTTTATGGAGAAGCCAGGGAACACTTTATGCACCAGTAAAGTCCGCGAGTCGGGATTGTCCAGTGTGGCCGACTTGATAAAGATGGGGTAGCAGCTGCGGTTGTACACCCACACCCCGTCGGGCTCGCGACTCAGCTGGATGCCATAACCGATCTTGGTCCGCACCATTTGAACCAGCGTGCTCTTGTTGTCAGAGCTGAGCTGGCCCAGGCAGAAGCCGTTCCCCTGAGGTAGGTCGTAGAAGATGTCCAAGGAGGGCTCCTGGACAGAGTAGAGGCGCCCCACGCGTGTCTTCTCCTCCCAGTACGCAACCACACACCAGTGGGATCTGTCACCCGACTCCTGTAGAGCTTGGGAATCTATGAGAGAGAGAGAGAGAGAGAGAGAGAGAGAGAGAGAGAGAGAGAGAGAGAGAGAGAGAGAGAGAGAGAGAGAGAGAGAGAATGGTTACAACACTGGACTGAAGATACAACAGTTTAAAATCTGTAATTCAGAAGGAAAGATGATAGGACAGATGAGGATAGAGGGATAAAAGGAGAGATGAGGGTAAAGGATAGAGGGGGATAGAGGGGAAGCAGACTGGCCAAGATTGACTTCCATTAGTGAGTCAACAGGAAAACAAATCTGGCTTTTTACCAGCATGGTGATGCAGTGGCTGAGAGCTGGGAGAGGAATTCCTATCAACAACTACTCAATAAAAGTCTTAAAAAGTCATGATACTTGGAGATAAAAGACAAACAAAACTGTTTTACTACTTCCAACTCTGACTAAATACTGTATAGACATTTCACAATATGTTCAACTACAAAGCCCTATGACTCAAAAGTACAATCAATATCACAGTGCACAAAGGAAACACGTTACTTCGGCTGCCAAATACCGCTTGTTGCATCCTTAATTTCACAATCCATCCAAGAAAACAGTACAGGAATTTCTGGAATTCGCACAAGAAAAGCAACCAGCCCAAAACACTAGGACACACACACACGTGCACACGCACACAGCCATCCAAACCCTGTTTATACAAGCCTTAATGGTTATCTTTGGTCTGGAGCCTTGTATTTTCCTTACAGGCCGACTAACAATGTGCTGGCGTCAAGTGGACGGTAAATCTGTCCTAATCATTGATTTATGGCCGTTCCCTCATTCTACCAGAGGAAATTATAAGTAATAGGTTTAATATTCAAGAGAGGGGAACCATGAAGAAATTTGGCCTATCTTTGAAAGGCAGTATAAAACCATGCTAGGACAAGGGCTGTGTCTTGAATGTCCCCCTATTCCCTCTATAGTACACTACCTTTGGTAGTCAAAGGTATTGTACTATAGGGAATAGGGTGCCATTTGCGAGGCAGACTATGAGAGCTGCTCTCCTCTCCACTCTGCGCATAGGAATGGGTTTGATTAAAGGAGAGGAGAGAGAGGGGGCCAATAAAACACACAGCAATGAGAAGCAGCAGTGACCAGAAAGCCCGTTATACTACAGCTACAAAGAACTATAACTCAAAAGTCTTCATTCCACAGTACATGAGGTAAAGAAGTTCCTTTAGTGGAAAACTAAGTGGTCTTCTGAAGAAAGGCACATAAAAAGCTGTAAATGGACAACAACGGCAGCTATGTGACTGGTTGAAAAGCTACGCCGCTCAGAAGGTCTAGAGTTTCCCCCGAGCGTAAAGAGTGTAGCGTTCAGCTCTGGTTTCCCTCCGACCCCCTTAGCGTGCCTCCCGTCTCTCTCCCTATCCCTGCCTCCATATCTCTATCCCACAGAAACCCGATTCCTAGGCAGGGGAGGGGGAGTCAGCCAGGCAGAGAGGGAGAGGAGAGAAAGAGAGAGAGAGAAAGAGCAAAGGAAAAAGTGGGCTTTTTTCACAACTTTACTTTTGCATCTCAACTTCCTCTCAATCCTTATACCGCCATGGCCTAATTACAAACAAAACTATAAAGTATAAACTGCAGAGGACCGACAGTAAACTATTTACACAGACACACACAAAGACACACTCAGCAATTATTCAGTGTTGTAGCCTATCCTCTGAGAAAGTCAGACATTCAATGGTTAAAAGTTAACTAGGAAAAAGAAAAAACCTGGAACAGAGCCTCCTCACAGACATTTTGCTCCACCCCAATCCATCCCCCCTCTCTCCAATCCTTTCATCTTTCTGGGCCGGCCGAGTGTACCCAGTAATTTGGCCAGCAACCCCGTCAGAGGAACCAGAGCCGAAGCAGAGCAGAGAGAACTGTCCAGTTATGTTAATGGGGAAGTATCTTAGTCAGCATCCCTTTTGACCAGAGCCCTGGTCAAAAGTAGTGCACTATATAGGGAAAAGGGTGCCATTTTGGATGCAGCCACAGTCTGGTCTGGCCTCCTCAGGCTGCTCTGCTACACTACAGGCATGTTATTAACTCAGCATCCAGGCTGCGACTGAAATGGCACCCTATTTACTACTTTTTACTAGGGTCCATTTGGTCCTGGTCAAAGGTAGTGCACTATATAGGGCAGGGCGGTCCAACCCTGTTCCTGAAGAGCTACCGTCCTGTAGGTGTTCAATCCAATCCTAGTGGTAACTAACCTGATTCAGCTTATCAACCAGCTAATTATTCAAATCAGGTGCGCTAGATTAGGGTTGGAGTGAAAACCTCCAGGACGGTAGCTCTCCAGGAACAGGGTTGGAGAGACCTGGTATAGGGAATAGGGTGCCTTTTCGGACGCAGCCCCTGACCTCATGAAGAACTAGTGAAAACAAGGAAAGGACAACACTAGGGAGGGGAAAACATTTCTTCCATAAAATGATTGGCTGTTCGTGGGCCGTTCTCTTTGAAGTCAGCCAATGTAAGGCTGAGGGGAATTATTGTAAATCCACCCAGCTAGCTCCCCAGCTATTAGGGACAACGTTTGTATTTACATTTTCTCAAACCGACTGAAGAGAAAAGACTGAGAAAGGAGGCATAAAGGGTGAGGAGGCCGCTCCTATGTGCTTGTCTGTGTGTGTGTGTGTGCTTGTTCGTGTGTGTGCCATCTTAAAGGCCTCAACGTTAATATTCTCATTGTTCCTTGGATGTGAGTGACTCGAGGCAAAGCTCTTAGAGCTCACCTGTGGGCTGTGCTCTCTACTCTTTCCCTCGCTCTCTCTCCCACACTACCCCCCCACACACACCCCCTTTCCTCTGTTTTTTATACCTGAAAGAGAGAGAGACAGAGAGAGAGCGAGAGACTGGGCTGGCTGGCGTCGGAGGTCATTACACGGCTGCTTGTCTGAGCCTGTCATCACAGCCTGAAACCACCGAGGTATTCATCACACGACTACACACACTACAGAGACAGAGGGAGGGAGGGACTAGAGAGAAAGAGAGGTAGAGAGAGATAAATAAAAGAGCCCCTACTCCTGCGGTTCTGTTTCCTAGTCAAACACACACACACACACACACACACACTTTACAAGTGAACACAAAAGTGAACCCACACTTCACAGTCCTGCCACCATAGAAATACAATTACTGAGCCGACTAGGTGAAAAATCTGCCGATGTGCCCTTGAGCAAGGCACTTAACCCTAATTGCTCATGTAAGTCGCTCTGGATAAGAGCGTCTGCTAAATGACGTAAATGTAAATGTAAATGTAATTACAACACTATTATCTATCTCTGTGCCTGCTGTCACTGACTACAGTACAACCCAGGGAAAACCCACAGGGAAAGTATGTGGCTGTCCAGCTAACTATCAGTCCCAGGGCTCTCTATGTATCAGTCTAAACTATGTCACCCTGCAGGGTCAGACACTTCCCTTCCATCCCTCCCGCTGTCTGGCCGTCTTTCAGTGCATTGTCGTGACGATGACGGTGGCAGCTGAGGGCCTATTTTAACGTGGCTTGCTGCCTGTCGGGCGGGAGGGCTGGTGGACAGACGGCCACTATAATGACAGCATTAGAATGCATTCCATTCCAAAGTAACAGTGTTAGATAAGAGCATTAATGATCTGAGGGCTGGAACACCGAGAGACAGGGAGAGGGGCCAAGCCTCTAGTACATAGCCATGACAAAGTATGCCTAAAACCGTCCAACACACACTGTTATAACACAACTACTAAGCTATAGTTAACCATAACAGACTATTACAACATTGCTACTAAGCTACAGTTAACCATAATACAGCCATGACAAGGTTACAGCTAAAACCAACCAACTACTAAGCATCAGTTGACCGTAACAAGCTACAGTTGTTAAACCATAATAACCACAAACACTCTGTAACAGTAAGACAGAGCAGCTAAGGTTAGCAACACAATATAGAGACAGTCTACAGTAATGATTAACAGCTAAAATTGTGCTAGCTAACACCCTTAACAGACTGTTGCAAGTTGCTACCACAAGCAAAAACATAGCTAAGGCAGTGCAGTGACACTAAGGCTAACTGACTAACAGGGAGTTTGAAAGCCTGCCTCCGTTTGTGGGGCACACACACAGCCTAGTCCTGAGAGGAGTGTGTTCACAGCTTGTTCTGACAACCAGCGGGCTCACACGAAATGAAGAGAAATGGCACTACACACAGAGAGACTTGGCTGAGCCTCGCAGCGCACACACGGAGTTCCTAACACACACATGCCCTTTACATGGCAATCATACTACTCACAACCAGGTTTAAACACATTCACATTTCTCTCACGCATTAGGAGAACACATCTGCTAACACAAGAGCAAGCCTATGGACCTCCAGCAGAGCGTGTGTGTGGGTGTGAGAGAGGTGTGTGAGAAAGAGGGCCTCCCTCTCTCTCTCTCAGCCCTCTTTCTCTCCCTATCTCTCAGTTCTCTCTCCCATGGGGCTGTGGTTGTTTCCCCGTGTTGCATATATGCAGACTATGTCTAATTCCCCTGACTGTCTGTCTGGCGCTGTGACACAGTGGCTGTAGTGCTGTCTATATGTACGCACAGCCAGGGTTTTTGGCAGACAGACAGGCAGACAGACAAACACACACACAGGGAGAGAGGCAGACAGGGACTGCCGTCAGTATGACTGGACCAGAGACAGGCAGATGAATTACAGCCCTGAGCTCCGGCCGGTGGCAGCCCTCCTTTCCTCCCTCCTTCTTCCAGACTGTAGGGCAGGCTCTGCTCTGGGCCTGGGTGGGACATTCCAAACCCCGCCAACACCAGAGCACTGTTTCCACTTACTCTCCCTCCCTCTCTTTCTCTCTCCACCACTCTCTCTTGCAGCAGAGCAGAGTACAGCTCCCTCCTTTTTTTCACCCTCTCTCTGTGCGTGCTGTTTTTGTTGTCGTAGGCTGGCGTCATTTCAAACGGGTCGGTCTGAGGGGTACAGAGTGGAACAGAGAGGGAGCAAGGTACGTTACCCACTCCTCCCTCCTCTTCTACCCCACCACTCCACTCCAACAAAAATCAACGATATACTCTGAAAGACAACGTATGTGTCCCAAATGACACCCTATTCCCTATATAGTAAAGTTGTGCACTATATAGGGAGTAGGTTGCCATTTGGGACACAGCCAAATACTGTGTGGCTGTCTCAAGTCCCCGCCTATCTACATGAAGATTACTAGGCTAGGCTGGCTGCTGCCATCTGCTCCAAGGCTCTTTGTTTGGCCTGTTGTTTTCTGGGCCAGCCTCTGTTCTTATAGACTCAGGTAGATGGTCTGGAATAATGTCAATACATACTCAGGCTAGGTAATGGACTTGTTTTAGCCTGGTTTAAACCATCAATCTTTACAAAACCACAAGCTCATGGACCTACGTTAAACACTAAAAAGACAAGATTACAAGCTAGTAGTAGAGGCATACAGGTCTATCACCAAGGAGAATGGAGAAAAGGAAGCTCTCTCTTTCACAACTCTGAAAGAAGCATGTTCTTTCAGTCCTCCAACAATGTGAAACATTTAGCTCCATTTCACAGGGAAGCAGACAGGCCTCCCTCTTCAACCCCCACCCCCTGTGGATCCCCATAGCCTTCTAATGGCTCCTTGTTTTACAGTCCACGGTAGCCAGCTGTAGCTGAGACTATTGGGCAGCGGAGGAAGAGAGGGGGGACGGGAGAGAGAGACTGGAGACAGCGAGCAGAGCAGTCTGGAAAAGTTAATGATTAATTCTGTCTGACTCCACACTCCGATCATTACTATTTCTGGATGTCTACACAAACACACACACTGTGAGACACACACGCGTGTACGCACGCACGCACACACACACACACACCGACTCGGTACTGGTACCCTGTGTATATAGCCAAGTTATCGTTACTCACTGTGTATTTATTCCTTGTGTTATTCTTTTTCAATAATTTCAATTTTTTTCTCTCTGTATAGTTGGGAAGGGCCCGTAAGTAAGCATTTCACTGTTAGTCTACACCTGTTGTTTACGGAGCGTGTGACAAATAAAATTTGATTTGAGGCACATACAAACATACACACACACCACGGGAGGCTGCTGAGGGGAGGACGGCTCATAATAATGGCTGGAATGGAGTGAATGGAATGGAATCAAGCATGCGGAAACCATGTATTTGATGCATTTGATACAATTTCACTGATTCCGCTCCAGCCATTACCACGAGCCCATACTCTCCAAATAAGGTGCCACCAACCACCTGTGACACACAGAAGCATTTTGTTATTTTTTCGCTTGCTGTTTAACCTTCAAATGTGAGTACACACTATCAACATTGGTAAATACAGAGAAGACACCTGAGAATGAGTTCTTATTTATCCTGACTTTGTCCCAAATGGCACCCTATTTTCTCTCTCTCTCCCTCCCTCCCTCCCTCGACATGAAGGGAGGAGGCGTCTTTGTCTTTCATTCATAGTCTCAACACCCTGCTCAGCCTGGGGCAAGTCTATTTCAGGGGTCACAGGTCATGACAATACATTATTTTGTTCTCTGTGTTCTCTTCTCTTCTGCTGCCTGCCTGGCCTCCTCTGTCTCTGTCTGTCTCTTCCTCTGTTTGACTACAGCTGAACTGCCTTTAATGAAAGGAAAGGCTGCATACTTTGTCAATCTTAAAACGATCTAGTAGACTGGTACGTATTGATTTATAAGCAAACACACAACACAAGTGACCTTTTAGTTCCTTTAGTTCTTATAAATGTGTCTTTGTTCTATGTCTTGTGCAAATATACAAAACAATTTATCACAACACACAAGGGATCAACTATTCTGACTATAGGAGACATTCAGTGCTTGAGCGGTGGAGTCACGTCAGTATAGTACAGTCACTGGAAGGAATGGTCCAGCTAGCCTACTGACATAATTATAGGACCATAACTTAATAATAATAATAATAATACAGAGGCTCGGATAGATCCAAGAAGAATACGGTTCTCACACTCACAGGCCAGAAGACTGGCCAAACACACATACACACAGACACGCGCACACACAGACACTCTGTAAAAGCTCTCGAGAGGCTCCAGGGCGGGGCATGCAGAGTTATTACCCTTCTATAAATGTTATCTTTTTCCTGAGGCATCAGCCCTTCTGACAGCAGCACAATCTCAAGAGGCATTCCCTCCCCAGAAATTAGCCAAGGTAAACTCTAGCCAGTCTAAACACAACAGAGGAGGAGAGGACTGGCTCTACTGACCTACGGCTGGGGAGAGAGAGAGAGGTAGAGAGAAGAGAGAGGGCGAGAGAGAGAGGGGGAGTGAGAGAGAGGACATGAGTGTCAGAGAGAGTGACATCAGTGCTAGTATGGCTGTTCTTGAGAAAGAGAGAGAGAGAGAGAGAGAGAGAGAGAGAGAGAGAGAGAGAGAGAGAGAGAGAGGAGAGAGAGAGAGAAATAACATAAGTGTTGCTTTGTTTGCTAGGCCCTGTTCTGTCCCCATAGGATGCCAATGAAGGGGGAAACTGCTAATTAGGGAAGAAGCATTACATAACAGGGAAGATGTCAGCAGCTCTTTCCTCCAGTCCAGGAAGTCTGTCCATATATACATACTGACCCAATTCGCAGGAAGGGGACATGAGTGGCTGCACATACACAGAGGGGGGGAACATGTAGCTAGTGCTTCTAACTTATTTATCAATCTGAACAAATGCGTACAACAAAACAAAAAATAACTAGTACACACAAACAACAGGGACACATCTCAGAGATGGAACTAGGACCCTGCTTTTGTCATTACTCCACAGGCCAACCCAGAGGTCACTTATGTGATGATCACAGGAATTTCATTTTACTTCCTGAATTGACTGGATTGAAATGGGGGGGGGGGGGGGGGGGACTAACCCATCGCCCGGCACCTTCCTAGTTCCTATACCCCACAGCCCCAGTCACAATACCCCTGGCCTTCCCTTTCTACCCCGGTCCAGGCTGGTTAACTGATTTATTATTCCAACACTACATCATTTGTGAGGCAGGGAGGTGCACCCATCCTGCCCTCCTCTGGCCCCCCTCCTCCGGCCTAGACGTCCCTGAGCGACAGAGTAAGCAAACACTACAGGGTGGAAAAGCAGGAGATGGTGCTGGGGCGGGAGGGAGGCATGCAGAAAGGCAGAAATGATGATGTCATCATGGGTCCTTCACCCCAACACAGAGCTGCCAAGAGCAGGGCTTGACTAGAACCCTGTCCCTCTGACACCGCTGTAGCGACACAGACTGAACAACAGGCAGCATTGTTCTACATCAGGATGTCAGGGATCTCCGTGGGAACCAAACCGGCGCCAGGCTACGCTGCCACAGCAACGACCATAGCGCTGGTGACAGAGCCATCATATTACAGGGAGTGCTGTCTGTCTGTCATGCAGACAGGCAAGGGTGCTTGTACCCGGACATCTGCTGTAACCAACCAGCTTTACTGACTGATTACACATGAATGGTCTGGCTGGCCGTGGTTGGAAATAGTAGAAAGAGGAGAGAGAGCACGTTGCACAGAAATCTCTCTCTACCGCTCTCTCCCTCCACCTCTCTCTCTGTGGCTAGGGGACTGGTGGTGGTGAAAAAACACACCAGGGAGAAGGAATGTTCCCCTCTCTTTTGATCATCTTCATACAATGAGTTATGTGAAAAGCCGCTGCCTTCGAGCCGCTGAGGCCAAACAATGGCCACCTTGTTCCCTGCCGGCCTCCCACCAACTCTCTCTCAGAACCCTACACAGCTACATAAGCAAGGCAGAGCCCACCCTAACCTTTCACTCTTCTCTGCCTGCCCAGAGGTAAAACTCTAGGCCAACCCGTCACTTCTTCACTCTGCCCAAAGGTAAAACTCTAAAAAAAGAAACAACCCAGAGAAAAACTCTCTACCCAGGAAAAACTCTCTCTCTCACACAACTACAGGCAGGGCCTTTCACTAACTTCACTCGGCCTGGCCAGAGGTAGGACTCTGTCAACTCTGTTCAGTGCCCCTCGAGCCTAGAGCAAAGGAATCTGACTGGACTGAAGGAGGAAACGTTGAGGGTAATAAATATAGTTGAGGTTAGGGTTGGAGATGGGGAGTGGAGCCTTACAGAACAGTCACAGAGTGGGTTTGTGTGATTTCCTGGGGGCCCAGCCTGAGCCTGTAGCATTTACTACTAATGTGTAGAGAGCCTGAACTAAACTAAATGCCTGGCCATGTAGAGTAACTGGACTGTTTTTCCTCTTCTATCCTCCCCCTCTCTCTCTCACAGTTTTTCAGATTCATGCACCATAATGACAGTGGGTGGGGAACCGTGTACGGCCAGAACCAAATTAACTCCCCGCCCGCCAAGAGAACTCCTTGGCCGCAGCTCTTGGAGAGGAAGTGGAAAGTAATGAAAGTTCCTCGCTCAGTGCAGCTCAGTCAACTGAGAAACACACAGATCGCCTTCCAAATGGCACCCTATTCCCTGTATAGTGCACTACATTTGACCAGAGCCCTATGCGGTCAAAGTAGTGCACCCTAAAGGGAAAAGGGTGCCATTTGAGACGCAACCACCGAGGAGAGGGCTGTTTTGAAATTACAGAGAGAGAGAGAACTGCTTCTCCTTTGACCATGCCTTTTCCCCTCTCTGCAAGTAAGAAAAACAAAGGAGAGAAATAAAATAAGTTTGGGGATTGAACTGAAAAGCTAGAGAAGGTTGAAGTCAAGATGTTTGGCCATTTGATTAATCAGGGATCTCTCTAAACTGTGACGAACTGGGTGTTCTGTTCAGCCTAACTCTCTCTTTCTTTCTTTCTTTTTACTGACTGACTGTCTTTAATGTTTGCTTTCCATTCAGAGGAGGCCACCCTCATCTCCCTCCCTGTTCATTGCCTTTTCCTCAAACACATTAGGTAATTTCCTGTGACTGCCTGCCCTTTCCTTCTCTGTTAACCCAAACAAGACAGGAATTGAACTAAGGGGGGACTGTAGACTGTGGCTGCTCTGTTGGAGCTGTTCTCTGAAGGGGTTCACCTCCACCACCTCACCTCTCAGAGTGGGGCCAGGGGACAATAAGGAGCTAGCTGACAATGCAGAGACTGAGAATGTGGCATAGGGTGAAAGGACTGAGAGAGGAGAGGTGTAGGCTGTAAGACTTAAACATTGAAGATAAGACGGAAAGAGAAAAGGAACAGAGTACAAAGAGACAGGCTCCTACAGCCTGGGTCAGTCACTGGTCTTCACGGTCAACTTGATGGTAGGAAGAAGAAACCCAATTGTAATGTTACCAGAGTCACCTAGTTTACACCTTATGTTAAGTGGCCAGTAACCAGTTCAGAGGGGCTAGTGGCTGGGTTCGCTAGCTAACAGTTTAATAATATACTTCGACCTAAATGTAACTTGCTGAGAAGAGGAAGCTAGGCTAGCGCCTGTGTGACAGTAGGCCGCCATCCAGTGTGTGTGTGTGTGTGCGCGTGTGTGTGCCCCGTCAGCCAGACAGTCTATGTCCCTGTGTGGGTCATTCTATCCCATCGTCTGACGGCCAAGGCCGTGGCCTGTCACACATACACACACACACGAACAGTGTGCCTGTCAGCTCAGCGCCACCACAGCAGAGCAGTGAGCCAGAAGGATCCTGTTACACCAGGCACTCTGGGGTCACTCCTAGCCGGCACCAGCCAGGCATGCCACCTCCGGCTTTGAACCCGACCCCCACCACTACTCACACGCACAGGGACAGAGCCCCAGCCACTCACGACATGGACCCATAGAATATAGAGGAGATACAACACCTAACCCCCCTCCAACTCTGTCGCCCACAGACAAAGTCATATAGCCTCCCAGCACTCAATCGCGCAGTGCACCAAGGACAGGAGATAGATACAACACCTCGCCCCCTGTGACCTGACTGTGCCCCCTCCACCCCCCAAGTCTCATTCACCCACAGGAGATACAGTACATACAACACCTAACCCTTTCCTCACCCCCACCTCACCGCCATCACCGCATCTGGGCCAGCCTCAAGCACCCCACCTTCTTCTCATCACCCCCTGGTCCCGACCCTTGGCGCCCACCCCAATGTACACACTATGAATCACCAATAGTACCTATACCATTACTATACTATATAGCACTTTGTGACATCTGCTGATGTAAAAAGGGCTTTATAAATCAATTTGATTGATTACAATACCACCACCCACTCAGCAAGGTCCCTCTCCGCATCCACATACAAATATTTTAATACAACAATCGCAAACTAAACACAAAGCCCACCCTGACCGGGGTAAGGGACCTGTCTGTGCCAGGAAAAGACCCATGAGTAGGAGGAGGAGGAACTGGAGCAGAGAGAAAGGGGCCAACATATACAAAAGAACAGACCCACTACTATGGCCAAATTCTGGTCTCTGTCCATCCCGGACTCGTGACCCTCTGTCCCAGCCTCAGGTCCAATCCTGGCCCAGCCCCGGGCCACGGCCAGTCTCTCCGGTCATCCCTGGCTCTCCTCCCTTTGCTCCACTCAGATGACGTGCTAGAGGAGGCTTTCATGCTCCTAGTCTGGCAGGCAGCCTAGTTCGCATTTGTGCTTGTCACTGTCACATTGAGGTTAACTCCTTAATAACCCTGCTTTCCAGGACCACAGAAGGCCGAGGTTAGGGACAGGGACGAGTCTGGGGCTAGGGGCCTCCCACCAGAATATAATCCTAACCAGAGCAGACCAGTTACAGTAACTAGCCTGTCTTCCTCCCACCAGATAATCTAGACCAGACCAGAGCACTAGTCTGTCTCACTATATAATCCTGATCCTGAGCCGACCAGACCAGACCATAATCAGGCAAGGGGGGGGGGGGGGGGGGGGGGGGGGAAGAGAGAGAGAGAGATAGAGATAGAGAGAGAAAGATCTGCTATTGCTCTTTTCCCCCATTGTTTTTTCTCTTGATCGTTTCAAGTATTTAATATTTTGTCAATATCTAGAACCTTAACTGCAGATGGTTGCAAAATAATTTTTTTATTTTTTATTTAGGAATATAAAAGCTTAATGTGTTAGATACTTAGGCTTAGGTAATCTTCTTAGAATGTCATATTCCAATTTCAATAGGCTGTGTACTGTATGTGTGTATATAACAGCAGTACCATCCTCCTCCCACCCTCTTTCTTCTGTAAATAAGTCGAGAGCGCAACATAAAAAGCAGACCATCTCCATCATCCCTCCCTCTTCTTCTGTAAATACGTCTGGGTAGCAACATAAAAAGGGCAACGAGAGTGAATTAAAAGGTCAACATGGAGCCTCCGGGAGGGGCATGTTTCTTTTGTGAGAGCCCCGGGGGGAGCACAGTTTTCTTCCCTTGCCAGAGAAATCAAATCCTTGGCTCCAGGCGCCCGGGCCCTTTCCTCCTTCACTCCCTGCCGCCCCCCTCCCCTCCCCTCACTGAGCCCCATTCACTAAGGCTGGCCGGCCTGCATTGGCTCAGCCAGGAAGGAAAACAGGGGAGGGGTGCATGCCTGAGGGAGAAGAAGAGGGGGAGGGAGGGGAGGTGAGGGGATTAGCTAGTTAGACTCCAGTCTACGATTTCACAGTTTGCACTGGGGTTCTAAAAAACAGGCTAAAAACCTCTCCACAACAGAGACAGAGAGCTGCACTTTTCTGTTTCTGGAGGCTTTGTTTGCTCTGTGTTTATACACTCAGCCAGACAGCCAGCCCAGCTCACAATCTGAGTCCCCAATCTAAAAAGCCCCTATCTGGAGACCATTGACCCTCCCCCTCCTCCCTCCGTCCCTCCCAGCCAACACCCGCTCCTCTCCTAAACAAAGGAGGGGGAAGAAAAATAGGCAGTGAGCGAGCTAAGCACCCCGACCAACCAACATAAAAAAAACTTTAAAGTCTCTGTAATGAGAAACATCTGAACGAGAGAGAGAAAGCACAGCTGAATTCTTTATTTTCTTCCCTCTTTCTTTTACCCATAAACACCGTGTTATCTGCTTGCCTCTGGATGGATGGCGGGATGGAGAGAGACGCGAGAAAGGTGGTATAGCCTACAGGATTATAGGAGAAAATGTAAGACTTAGAGGCTGTCCAAAAACACCTCCCTCCCTCAGGTACAGAATATGTTATTATTACCAGAGAGAGAGAGAGAGCAGTAACACAGGTTAAGGCTAGCAGACCTCCCCTGCTAGCTGAGTGCATTGTGTTCAGAATAACATGGACTCAACCCCATGACCAGTCAACCTTAACCAACCCTCTAAGCAGCTTGCATGTCTGTGTTCATGTTCCCATGGAGGATATAGTATTGATAGGGCTTCATCCAGCTTTAGATGTTGTGGCCCCTTGCAGGTATACTGATGACATGATTATCGCCTCACAAAATGTATATACACACACACACACGCACGCCGTAACAACTCAGCTCAGATCCTCATCAAAGGCAAAATCAAGAAGAGCGCAAACACACACAATATACAGCGCTCTCTAAAGCAAACAGCCCTATTTTCTGTTTGGATTACATTAAACAAAACAGCATGAGGGAAAATGAAAGGCGGTAAAGAGCGCTTGTTCAATGAGCCGGGAGGATTTTATGTGGATCTCTAGAAACACTCCTCCCTTCTTTTATTACAGCGAAGAGGGGAAGTAGGGGCCCCTCCAACTAGCCACTGCATCATGACAGAAAGAGAGAGGGAGGATGGGAGGGAGGGAGAGAGAAAAATAAAAACCATGGGCTTGCGTCTTACCTGAGAGCCCCACAGGGGCCGAGTAGGTAGTTCCTCCAGTCTCAGTGGATGAAGGACCCGAGTCTAGAGAATCTGAACAAAGAGAGAAGGAGAGAGAGAGAGAGAGAGAGAGAGAGAGGAAGTGTGTGTGTGTTAGAATGAGAGATCAACCACAGTGTGAGCAGAGAGAGCAGCTGTGAGAAGCTGTCAATCACACAGTGAAATCAATTCCTAATGAAGACACTGGACCACTGAGCTCTGGGAGTCACTCAGTCAGTTCAGACAGCTAGCCAGGAGCACCACTAATAACCTCACAGATCCACACACACAGCTCACTCCTACAAACTCACTACCTCACTGCACTTCTGTCTGGTGAAGTTACCTCAAATATACCAGTATTAGATACATCATTTTTGTAGTTTGTCATTTTTTGTAATCATACAGTATTTGCGACTGAACCTTTGGTAGCACAATAATATGACACAAAACAAAATAGATCAGATTCTTAACATGCTAGTTAGTGGATAGTAACATCATGAAAGTTGGCGATATCTCGAAGACACATCAAGTCTTAGCAGCCCTTCATCGACAGAGTATGAATAGTACTGACTACTAATGTGGGAGGCCTGCCCTGTGACGGCCTTCAACACTAGCCACCACTAATCCCATAATCCTCAGCAGTCTTTACTCAGTGAGACAACTAGAGCGGCCATGTTGGTGGAGAGAGAGGGAGAGAGAGAGACATAGCGGGGGGGGGGGGGGGGGGGGGGGGGCTGGCAGAGGCTCTGACGACAGGCTCTGGCAGGTCTCGACACACACACACACAGCACTTAAAACACACAGCAGCGCCCCTGCTCTGCTCCTTCTCCCAGTCCCAACACCGTAAAACCAACCAAGACTCCCAACACAATCACATTTTCCTTTTTCCTCCAACTTTCTAAAAGGCCCAGAATAAATAAATGCCTGGCTTGGAGGGAAAAGAGGCGTTGACTTGAAAAACATGTCTGCCTCCACTGTAGCCTAGCACTACTTCACTTATCAGAGCCTGGTTGCGTCCCAAAATGGCACCCTATTCACTATATAGTGCACTACCTTTGACTAGAGCCCTATGGGACTCCCTATGGGCCCTGGTCAATAGTGCACTACATAGGGAATAGGGTGCTATTTGGGACACTGTCAGACCTAGTCTCTAATAGGAATATACAGTTTAGCAGGATACACTCCATCAAACCCAAAACAATGAGCGAAACAGGAAATAGCCCCAGCCTTGAAAACTGTGTACAGCGCATTTTCTTAATAGCATACTAGCCGACAGAGGAAACTCTCGCTCCCTCTCTTCTCCTCCTCGGTCTCCCCCCGTCCCTGCTAAGATTAACCCCCTGTGTTCTTGTGGTGGTGCCACCAAAAGGAGTTGTAGCAGCGAGGGAGACGGGTATTACACTTCAATGTAATAACTTTTCTATGTAGTATTATTATCTGTCTATAAGACTACTACTGATGAATCGGTCTGTGTGAGCCAGTCATGAATCTGTTCCAATATGTGGACTGTGACTCTGTTAAGTCTCAGCCTCCATAGGATCAAAAGGACTCTGTCAAAACGGTACTGTGGTCAACCTAACGAGATACAGGGCCACGGTCAAGCAGCCTGCCTCTCTTTCATGGCTGTCCAGGCTGCAGGCCTGGTTTCCTGGGCACGGTTCACCACAGTACCGGGGCTGAGGTGGAGCTAGTCCAGACCCAAGACCTGGAAGAACTACTGAGAGAGAGAGATGGAGAGCGGTGTAGATAGAAAGTCACGGGGATGGAGCGTAAAACAAATAGAAACAGAAAATGTGGATGAAGAGTGTGGGAAAGAGGAAAGATGTGAACAGAGTGATTTAAAGTAAGTGACAGAGAGAGAGAGGCAGGCAGCTAGCGTTTTACGACGGCAGCTTTGATATTGACCAATTTTTGGCAGTATGGAGAGAGACACATCCATCTGATTCCTGTTCCTTAAAGAACTTCTCTCTCTGTCCTTCTCTCCCTCACTCTCCCTCTCTCACACACACACACACACACTCTCCTGTTCAGATTTACGCATGCAGCAACAGAAATTGAAACACATACCGCTGACTCCCCTTTGATGTTTTTTATAGCCGAATTATTATAGCATAAACTTCAGACATTGGAATCATCAATACACTACTAAGCCCTCATTATTGACTGACTATTGATCATCTGTTGCTCATGTCCTGTAGGTAAACTATCCACATACACACTCAGACTTGCAGTGCCTCTGACGTGGCAGTTAGTCTATTGAACTTGGCCCGCGACCGACCAGCTCCTACCTGGGTCCAGTGAAGACTGTCTGTCTACCTTCCTGTCTGTCTCTCGAGTGGATCCTTGTCCCCATTGTACATGGCTGGTTCTGCTGGTCAAGGACGCAAGCCTTACAACATCATGCTCCTAACCCCAGGGGAGCCAAAGTTTGCATACACACACAGTACAACCCAAGGCCAGGCAGAGAAGAAAAAATGTTCTACTACACACCTATACCTCTCATAATCCATAATATATGTGTTATATATGCAGGTACACACTGTACTAGCACTCCACCATGGGGTATTCCTCCTATTGTGGAGTGATGAGGCAGGACATTGCTATGCAGACCAGACCACCATGTAATCCAGTAAGATGTTAGCATGGTAATGTGGCCTGTGAAACAAATTGTGGTGAAGAGTCAGAGGACTAAATAGAGCTGGAGTGGACACACACACAAGGACGTGCACACAGACACACGGAAGAGGAGAGGAGTCAGAGCCTATATAGAGTGGGAGGACTGGATGACTGACAGCTCCCTTGGCCCAGAGGGAATTCCCATGTCTGTCTGTCAGGCATCTCATCTGTCCTCTACATCCAGGCTCAGTGTGTGTGTGTGTGTGTGTGTGTGTGTGTGTGTGTGTGTGTGTGTGTGTGTGTGTGTGTGTGTGTGTGCGCGTGCTATCGGTGTGTGTGTGTGTGCATCCGTGTGAGTCTCTCTCCCTACCCTCTGCAGCCCAGCCACGCTCCACTCTATTGTCCTATTAATATCTGTCCTCTCTCACACTCTTTAGTTTCCCTCTCTCTCGACTATATTAACATCAACTGAACCCTCGAAGAATCGCAGCTGCACATGACTTCCTCTCTTTTCTTTCCCTATGTTCAATGAAAGACACTTTCTCCTTCTCTGCTGCTGCTGTTGGGGAAACTTCTGCTGCTTCCTGCTCTATTGTTTCACTGGGCTTTTCTCTTTCTGTTTTCCTCCGTCTTTCTTTCTTCTTTCCTCCTTACCACAACCAGATGAGAGACTAGAGTGTGTGTGTGTGTGTGTGTGTGTGTGTGTGTGTCGTTCTCTCATTGGGGACATGGCGTATTCGTCCACATCACTCACTAAGAAGCAGCACTCCAAAAAGAGCTGCGGAAGTGTAGTAAACGGTTAATGGAGCCCTACAAGCATCCTCACAGGAAGCTGCCTCCCAAACGATGTCTTCCTACCCAGCGCTGATCCAGCCCCATTAGCAATGATGTCCCTGGGACCCTATTCCCTATATAGTGGACCATAAAAATAAAAATAAAGTAAACAGTAGTGTACAATATAGGGAATAGGGTGGTATTTGGAACGTCCCCGGAACGTTCACTCTGTGCGGCCTGATCGGAGCATGCAGGAAACCCAAAAACTGTCTGATTCATAAAAGGAGTGACTCACTCACAGCCGCCGCCAAAACACTTCAACTCACGACCTCGTCCTTGCTTAACTAAACATTGTCTCTTCATTCTCTATCTATTAAATGATGAACATGTTTCTAATGGTTTCACTTCAATCTTTAACATACACATAAAATCTATCTGACCAAAGTAGAGCAGGCTATAAGGATTCATTCCATATCAGGCATGGATGAGACCCATGATAGCCTACAGCAGCAACACACACAGCATTTCATTAACTCCCAACTTCCCTTTTTTGGCAGACATTTCCTTCTAAAATGGCTCACAGACTAAACCACAGGCCTGCATACACACACAAGAGCTCCAAACATACACACATGTGACACTCCCAAATCCTCAGCTGTAATCTACAGTCAGATTAATTAAACAGATAAAACATGGCTCCAGAAATCTTTGTCTTTTTCCCTTGTGTGATCCACATTTCCCCCCAAACTCTCCCTTCACTGCAGATGCCACCACCCCCTCACTCACGCACGCACATACACAACGCGTGTGTCTTGCGTGTGTGTGTGTGATTATTTTTGTGTAACCTCCTTGCGTGTGTCTCCTCTCTCTCTCTCTCCTCTGGTGCCAATGCTGTTTATCTGTCCTGCCAGGTCACCCCCTCCAGCCAAAAGTTTGTGCAGACAGACAACCACTACAGAGCTGGTGCCAGCCTGGAATGGGCCCTGGCCTTGGCTACCTGCCATTCTATTACAGGGCCCTGATCTGCACTGGGCTGCATTGCGCGGGCAGGCATACCACTCTCAGTCTGACTACCATCATAAATCAAAACAGAGAAGGGAGCATTTCCATATACACAGAACAGAACTCAATGCACCTAATAGTGTGAATGACTGAGTTAGTATGAGACTTCCTTTTCACTAGTGTCATAATAACATGTTGTTTAGAAATTACTAGGCAAAAGTATAATGTTGTTGTCATAACTTATGTTTAACTTATAAGTTATAAGCCTATAATATGCCTTTTAGTTTTTACAAATGGAATATAACTATAATTTTCATTGAAATGAAGTGGAAACAACATTGATTAAACCAGTGTGTGCCCAGTGGGTATGCTCATTGGAAAAATACAAACACAACCAGAAACCTCAACATATGTAGCCTACATTCAAGAGAGAAACATTCATGAAAAACTACTTTTTTTTTTTTTAAAGTAATAATAAAACTCACCGGGTGGTTTAAGAAGGTCCATTGGATATCGGGAATAAGGCGGAGGGGGAGACTCTGAAAATGAAAAGAAAGAAGGCATTAGAAAAAGGGTCCAGGGGAAGATAGAAACTTATGATAACAGTTTGCATTCTTTTTGAAAACTGTTTGTGTTAGCAGTGAGGGTTGGAGGCACGGCAGGCAGCAAGGCTGCGATTGCCTTGATATCTGGTGGAGATAAACAGGGGGCGCCTGGCGCCAGCCTCCAGGCAGCTATCTGACTAGGCTCCGACTCAGGCTGTAGGAGATACGGGTCTCTTCTGGCTCACAACAGAACAGGACACTCCAGTCGCAATCTCTGCCGGGCTGGCTGCAAGCAAACTAACTTGGTCTAGACTGACTGTCAAATACACATGATAGTCTACATGAAAGGCTAGGACATTTAAAATAGTTGAACATTGTGTAGGTCTGTCTTGTGTGTTATATTAGTAGTAGTCCTGACATGAAAACATGATAATGTTCAATCAAATTACTTTCAACTATATTTTTTTATGAGACAGTGGGAGAACTTGGGAAACCACATTTAACATGTGTAGGCCATGCATTCAGTATAAAAAACATAATATAAACATCTAGGCCTATTTGAATTCTTTATAAGCTTTTCCATTTAGATTTTAAAGCAAAAACAGATCTATAAATACAATACCTAGGCCAAGCTTTGCCAAACCAATAAAGAGACTACATAATATAAAATACTGCATATTATAAATTAATAAGGACATCATGTAATTACAATTGCGTTGATCTTTGTAATCTCTGCATTACCTGTGAGGAGTCATTCAAAGCAAATATATATTTTTATTGTATCCCAGATAGATAAATAATAAAATGAGGGACCTCTGCCATATGGACAGATGTGATGCTGCTAAAACTGTTCTAACGTCACACCAACTAAGTCTGACCTGTGCTATTGCAATAGACACCACCTGTAATTGTGTCAACATGTCTGGCAAAGTGACATGCCAATCAATTTACCCACATATAATATATAATAGTGAAACAGATAGACCATGCCTATAATTTGCAATCAATGATTGTTTTTTTTAAACACATTAACGGTCCGTGTATATTAACTTACCGAGTTCACAAAGTCTGCTCATGTGGTGAGGATTGCAGCAAACAAGTTCTGGGTTACTTTTCCCATAGGATTCACAGCAAGATAGCCTTTTTAATTCCGAGCAATGCCTGAGGTCCGACCACCGAAACACTTTGTAGAGCAGCAAGGGGAGGGAATAAGACTGCTGACCCAGTTTGGTGTCCACTTTGCTGGGTAGGAGCAGGCAGGGGCTCCGCGCACCCCCCTTTGACTCCACCGCTTGCAAGAGCCCCTCTAATTGTTTGTCTTTTATTTTTTTCAGTATCGAGTGGGTCAGGGCTTTCAATTCAGCCTCCGTTCCGACGCTAGTTTTTCCGGCAACCTTCGTCGATTTACCCATACAGCAACCCCCGGATCCATGCGTTCGTGTATCCGCCTCCCCCTCGCCCTCGACGGGCGCACGGCTCCTCCAGAGTCGCCGGACGAGCCCCGTTCGTTTGGTCCTAAACATGCGGGACGAAAAGAGGGTTTCCCGGCTAAAAAACGAGCATGATGTCCGCAAATCATGAAGATTCCGGGATCCGAGTCCAGGCAACGACAAGCAGCCTGAGATATTATTATGTAGAAACTGGGAGGTGGAGAAGCAAAGAAAATCTGTAGCATACGCCAGTCTAATTTTCTAAAAACTAAACCCCACAAAAAAAATTCAAGGCTCCTGCCGTGATAGTAACCTTCTCTGTAAAGAGAAATTAACCATCACCTATTACTATAATAATCCTACTAATATGCAGCTATATCGAAATATAAACCTTTATATCAATGTAGGAACGCTGAGCATCTAGAATACAAAATAGCAGCATAGAGAATTTGTTACAATGTAGAGCTAGTCTACTGTGAACATTAAATGCTACATTCGTTCCATTCCATCAGTATGCTATGTATAAAGAAAAAACATTCTAACATTACTTTGCGCATATGGTTATGAGTTGGCTTTTTATGGTACTCTGAGCCAGTAGGCTAAATAGCCTGGTAAAATACTAGAATTATATATCCATGAAAAAAACGAAGCTCGCCCGTTTTCTTTAGAAAAATAATAATCCACACAACCCTTGATCCGATAGCAAAAAGGCTTTAACAAAGGCGGGTGTCTATGTTTTATCCCTTATCTTCTAAATATCATAACCGTCTGCACATGATGTGATCTTCAGTATAGATTTAGACGTTACGAGAGAACGAAATGATCCTCCAAACAGATCCAAAGCGATTGAGCAAATCCAAAACTGGAGCCGCTGAAGTGCCAGACAGAAATCTACCCCGAGTAGAGTAGTTGCGTTTCCAATTGAATACTGAACAGAGTCTTGGTTATGTTCCGTTTTACAATAATTACCTATAGCCTATATTTCTAAATATCCCTTGATAAATTAATCCAGCCACTTTTTGAATGAAGTTTCTGTAGTCTGAGGAATAAAGTGAGTTGAGTTTGACAAAGAAGTGATGCGATCTTCAGAAAAGGTCTGCGAATGACGCGAATAGCTCAAGTGCCCTTGCCTTCTCTCACTCGCTATCTCTTTCTGACTCTGTGCTCTTAGCTGTGTCTCCAGTGCGCATTGGCGCGCCCCGTCACGTGGTTGTCTAGACACCCTGTCGCTTAAAAAAAAAAGATTGTGTTGCGCAAACAAGAGATCAAGTAGCTTACGTACAGAGAAATCGTTTGGGGGAGGAAAAGTTTCATTTTCCAAAAGTTGCAAAGTAACACAATTTAAAAACATGGCGAAACGTGTGGAGCTAGAATGGCTATTTTACTATATAAATGAAACACACTCTCGCTCTGAAAGAGAGATAAGGGTTGCCTCAGCGTAATATTTGACCAAACATTATTTGTTTGACCTTTTATTTACTTTGCCCATATGATCACATTAATGCAGTAGGCCTAAATATGAATAGGCTAACTATGATTGACGTTGATCACAATAGTAGGCTAATGAGAATAATAAGAATAACAACACTAATAATAAGAATAACACAACACATAATAAGTGTTGGTGTTATAATAATAACAATTAGGCTACAACCATATTGTTATTGTTATTAGGCTATTATTATTATTATTAGGTTTCCCTTTCATGGTGGGTAACTTAGTTGCATGTCTCTGAACCTTTTTCCCCTGAATGGTCTCAACGAACTACTGCCTCCCTCTGGTCAAATAGTTATTTCCCTGTGAAATACATCTGATGTAGGTTACCTACTTATTTATTACACATTAGGCTACTCATGGACAAGTTCACTGATGTTGTACAAAACGTTTTGTTGTATTTTTTCTTTGGTTGTCCATCCTGTTCATGTCAGAGACTGGTGACTGTTGCCAATCAACAGACTATAGGCCTACAGTAGTAGTTTACTAGTCACAGTTTGTCTGAGTAGGCTACTTCAACAAACCATTAACATAAACTAATCCTCTGGACTGGAGCACCACCATATGAAATAGGTTTCCTGGCCCATTGGGCTACTGTAGGGTATCTTTCTTGTGTAACTTTTCCTGTTGATACAATCAGCCTGATAGTGTAGACTAATAGGGCTCCGACCATCTGATTAAATATAGCTAAATTAATTTAGAAAATAGACCAAAGATAACCTAATTGTAAAACATCATCCAAATAACAGAATAAATAGAATACAACTTCTTTATCTATTCATTGACATAGATGGTTGAAGTAAATGTTCTGAAGAATAGCCTACTTGGGTGTGGGAAGGAGACAGAAGACCACCTTACCTCTCCAAAGTCTACAAACCTCCACCAAAAGGAATGATAACATATGACCCTTTAAAATGACTCGGTGCTGTACAGACAGGTCTGTCTCTGACTCGGTCTGTGTGTGAGTAAATTGAAGAATGCCATCCGCTGTAGCCTAATTGTGTCCTAGACGTAAGGGGAGGCAGGCAGGCAGGCAGCAGTAGCCTACTATGTTAATGTGGGTGCCAGTCAGGCAAGGCAGTGAGTGTCGCTGCAGGGCAGTGGGATGGGGTGGATGATGGTAATGATGATGGGATATGTGTGTTCTGTTCAGGATGGCAGGCGCCGACAGTCAATGGCTCAGTCTCATTGTTCCACAGATTTCCCACTGGCGCCGCACAACAGTTTAAGCTCAACCAACAGCAGCAGCACGCAACATATTTAAGGTAGTCAAAGTAATCTACACTGAAAACAACCGCTGTTCAGAACATAAAGAGTTTGTAGAATCCATTTTGTCTCTCTGTGTAATGAAAGTGGATTCACACAGCCTACAGGAAGTATTTTTATCAATACATTTTTTATTTCAAATTGGCAAAATAAAAAATTGTAGGGTAACTAGCCCCCCGAGCAAAAGGGGTATGCAACTTAATATTGGGAAGGTAATCTTAATGTTTTCTAAACTCAGTGTGTGTGTGTGTGTGTGTGTATATATACACTACCAGTCAAAGGTTTGGACACACCTACTAATTCACTGGTTTTTCTTTATTTTTACTATTTTCTACATTGTAGAATAATAGTGAAGACATCAAAACCATGAAATAACACATATGGAATCATGTAGTAACCAAAAAAGTGTTAAACAAATCAAAATATATTTGAGATTTGAGATTCTTCAAATAGCCATCTTTTGCCTTGATGACAGCTTTGCACACTCGTCATTCTCTCAACCAGCTTCACCTGGAATGCTTTTCCAACAGTCTTGAAGGAGTTCCCACATATGTGGAGCACTTGTTGGTTGCTTTTCCTTCACTCTGCGGTCCGACTCGTCCCAAACCATCTCAATTTGGTTGAGGTCGGGGGATTGTGGAGGTCAGGTCATCTGATGCAGCACTCCATCACTCTCCTTCTTGGTAAAATAGCCCTTACACAGCCTGGAGGTGTGTTGGGTTATTGCCCTGTTGAAAAACACATGATAGTCCCACTAAGCCCAAACCAGATGGGATGGCGTATCGCTGCAGAATGCTGTGGTAGCCCTGCTGGTTAAGTGAGCCTTGAATTCTAAATAAATCACAGACAGTGTCACCAGCAAAGCATCCCCACACCATAACACCACCTCCTCCATACTTTACGGTCGGAAATACACATGCAGCGATCATCCGTTCACCCACACCGCGTCTCACAAAGACATGGCAGTTGGAACCAAAAATCTCCAATTTGGACTCCAGACCAAAGGACACATTTCCACCGGTCTAATGTGTTTCTTGGCACAAGCAAGTCTCTTCTTCTTATTGGTGTCCTTTAGTAGTAGTTTCTTTGCAGCAATTCCACCATGAAGGCCTGATTCACACAGTCTCCTCTGAACAGTTGATGTTGAAATGTGTCTCTGACTTGAACTCTGAAGTGTTTATTTGGGCTGCAATTTCTGAGGCTGGGACTCTAATGAACTTATCCTCTGCAGCAGAGGTAACTCTGGGTCTTCCATTCCTGTGGATGAGAGCCAGTTTCATCATAGCGCTTGATGGTTTTTGCAACTGCACTGAAGAAACGTTAAAAGTTCTTGATATTTTCCATATTGACTGACCTTCATGTCTTAAAGTAATGATGGACTGTCGTTTCTCTTTGCTTATTTGAGCTGTTCTTGCCATAACTTGGTATTTCACCAAATAGGGATATCTTCTGTATACCCCCCTGCCTTGTCACAACACAACTGATTGGCTCAAACACATTAAGGAAATCAATTCCACAAATTAACTTTTAACAAGGCACACCTGTTAATTGAAATGCATTCCAGGTGACTACCTCAAGAGTGTGCAAAAATGTAATCAAGGCAAAGGGTGGCTATTTGAAGAATCTCAAATCTCAAATATATTTTGATTTGTTTAACACCTTTTTGGTTACTACATGATTAAATATGTGTTATTTCATACAATGTAGAAAATAGTAAAAATAGAAAAACCCTTGAATGAGTAGGTGTTCTAAAACATTTGACCGGTAGTGTAGGTCCCAAGACCCAGTGAGTTGAGATCATGACAAGTTAGAGACCACATTTGTGGTCTTGAGTGGTCTCAAGACCAAGACCAGTAGATCAAGAGTCTATGGGCCCTTTCTTAATTTGTAAGAAACTCAAGTAAACTTGTATACAGTACAGCACAGAGTAGGGTGCAGTATAGTAGAGTATAGTACAGTACAGTAGAGCACAGTACAGAAGTGGTTCCCAACTGGTGTGCAGCCGCAAAACTTTTCCTAATCTTGATTATTTTGTGTAACACTCACCTATAAATGTGACCTGTGGAATGCACATGGAATCTTGACTTGGGAGCACTAGTGCTGGTCAGATAATACATATAAATGACACATGGTTACATCTGTATCGTTATTTCAAGTCCAGTGCGCCCAGTCTGTTGATACATTTGTATCATTTGAGGGGCGTGCATCTTGAGCAAAGTCATTTATATAATTTTACTTAGTCTGTGAAAAACATTAACATAGGCAGAGCCATTAGGCTTAGCCAGAGTCATGTATTTATTTTGGCTCTGGGCTTAGCTATACCACAGCCTCTA